AGGACAGCGAGGCAGCCCGGGCAGCTGCGCCCCGGACGCGCGGAAATTGGGGAAATAGAAGGTGTCCCCCGTGTGGATGTTCACCAGCGGCCCCACAAACCCGGGATTCAGGAGATTATGCTCTCCCATTTCCGCGGGGCCCGACCGGCAGCTTCTACTTTATTGCTATCTGACATTAAACATAGTTAAACCTGCACCGGCCACCCATTGGCCGTCCAACTCACGTGGGTGCCGCCGCCAGAGGGATGGGTGGGGACAGCGAATCCCCCCCACCCCGCACCCATTCCAACTTCCCCCTTCCCCAATTGGGGGGGGGGGGCGCACGAAACGCGGGGACAGATCTATTCGCTGGTTTCTAGTTTTTTAAAGAAATCATATAAAACCTAACGCAGAGAGCGAGCCAGTCGCCCGATGCGGGGCAAGGGGGAAATAGCCACACCAAAAATACCCGCACATACACACTTCTGCACCCTGCACCCCTCCCCCCCAGATGTATTATCTTCTCACCAACAGCTGGCCCAGCATAGCCCGTCCCTCTTTAATTAGCTCCTTTATTAACTAAAACCGTTGGAATTTACAATATCTCCCCAATAAATTACTATTAGATATTGTGTCATATAAAGTTTACTGGCTGTTTAAGGAGACGGATGAGCCCTTTGGCTCGGGCTTATTTACAGTAGAGGCGAGTGGGGTAAGGGCAGGCTCTCCTGCTGCTATCTTCTCGGCCCTGTGGCTGCTGAGCTTTTCTTCTTCAGCTCTTTCTCCTCAGGAATTGGGGGAGGCATGTGGGGTCCTTTCCTCCAGGAAGGACTCGGGGAGCATTATTAACGTAGGGTCTCCCCCCAACGCTGGGAGCCACCCTCGCCTCACACGTCCACTCAACCTGTAGAGAAAGGATGCAGAGGGAGGCAGAAAAGGAAGGCGCCCAGCTCTATGTGAACCTGCCTACCTGCTCTTGAGAATGTGGGCGCTTGGACTGCTCTTGACTGTGATTCTGTGGGTCACAGGGGCTTCTGGGGGGATCTCCCAGAGTCTTTGCAGGAGAGTCTCTGGGCCCCTAGCAGAGCTTGGTTGGCCTGGGAAGCTCCTGGCACCCACTGTGAAGAAGGCATTGGCACCCCCTCCCTGGCCCAACCTGCTCTGGGATCATTAGATAGCAGTGCTGAGGCCACTAGGTGTGCTGGGAGCGAGGGAAAGAACTGCAGAGAACCATCCTGTTGGGGGCTTAAAATTATGTTCATGGTGCTGGCCTCAGCAGCTCCGCCGGGAAAAGGCTGAGCACCCAATGCTGCCATTGGTGAGACTCATCAAGGTAGGGAAATCACAAACCCTTTCCAACTAAGTCCACAGAACATAGTCAAGTGGATTTAAAAAGGAGGGGGAAAAAACCCCACACAAACCCACACACACCCACATAATACAAAAACCTTCAAAAGTAGGTGTATTCTCTCGGAGCCTAGTAGACAAAATAGTCTAATTTCCATGTGATTATTTCAGGCTCCTTATGCAATGCCCAGCTTTAGTAATACGAGGTGAGATAAATAGTTCAGGAAACATCTAAATATGAGAAAACACCAGAAGATTTAGAGAAGATTAGAGACTAAGAGACTCCATATGGGAGAGAAAAAACACATCCATGTAGGTGAGAGTTAAATGTCTGAGCAAAAGCCGAAGCAGACCGGAGCAAAAAATTCTCATCTCCCTTTTTCTCTCTCTTCTCTGCAGGACGCAGCGGAGAGAGACGCAGATTCTTAGAATTCCACAGCTCCGGGCGATTTCATATCCCAAGCCATAGCTGCTCACTCCCCAGAAATGCGTCCGTGCAGGCGTCCCCCAGCCGGCCTGCCCTGTCGGCCCCGCAGTTAGACGCTC